AAATACTTAGATAAAATAGAAAATCTATTGGAGAAAACCAATGTTAAAATTTTTTGAGATTTTTTTCCTAATGCTTGCCAATGTAAATTTATCATTATATAGTTAAGCCTTCACATTTTCCATCTTAATATTTATAATTATATGATATGTATAAGCATATGCTGAGTTTAAAACACAATCTCTTATAAAAATAAAAGCCACAATGAAATACCATGAGTCTATAAATCATGTTGATGCATAGTAATAATTCTATAGCAATTTTAAGGGAAAATACAAGAGAAAATAAAATATAAACATTAAATATAGCTAAGAAAACAGCATCATGTACTCATACCTAACCTAATAATACATTGTATGCATATTATTAAAGAGCTCTGGTGGCACAGTGATTAAAAAATTTGCTAAACAAAAGGTTGGCGGTTTGAACCCATCAGCTGTTCTGAGGGAGAAGATGAGACAGTCCGCCTCTGTAAAGACTTACAGCCTTGGAAACCCTACAGAGGCAGTTCTACTCTGTCCTTTAGAGTTGCTATGAGTTGGAATTGACTCAATCACCATGACTTTGGAGCTTTTATGCATGTTATTGTCATTGATCCTCAAAATAAACTTGTAAGGTGGGTATGTTATTCCCATTTTAGAAATGAGAAAAGTGAGGTTTGTAAAATAAATAAATAAACAAAAATACTTATTTTAAATAAATGTGTTACTAGGCATTACTTAAACCCTGGCTTGTTGTTGTTGTTATGTGCCGTCAAGTCAGCCCCGACTCATAGCGACCCCTCCTTGGGTTTCCGAGGCAGTATCACTACGGAAGTAGGATTGCCCAACCTTCCTTCCGAGGAGTGGCTGGTGGGTTTGAACCGCCAGCCTTCTGGTTAGCAGGCAAGTGACTTAGCCACTATGCTACCAGAGCTCCCCTGACTTACTGATGTAAAATCCAGATCATCTTAATGACCACAACTGCATCAATGTAAAGCCACAAAAATTATAAATGTTCTAAAATTATTTGAAACTGTTAAGTATACACTAGTCTTGTATTTTTCTGTTTTACAGTTAATTAAAAACATTATATTTGGTATACTACCATAACTTTGTATAATATTATCTTTCTTATGAGAAGGTAAAGGGATAATTATGAATAAAATAGGTTTATTGAAGAGAACTAAATGTATCTCATAAATACTGGGAAAAAAAATTGAAATAAAAAGTCAATTGCACTCATCCATAAAGAGGAATGAAGTCCCTAATACATGTTACATGGATGGTCTTTGAAAACTTTGTGTTGAGTGAAATAAACCAGTCACAATAGGGAAAATACTATATACTGCCAATTATATGAAAAGGATAAATATATAGAAACAAAAGTTTATTAATGGTTACCAAGAATGAGGGGATGAGGGGCAAAAGGAGTCACTGTGTAGGAAGCACTGGTTTCTGTTTAGGAAGCACTAAGTTTTTGTTAAGGACCTCTGGGGGTGTAGTGCGTAAGGCATTTGGTTGCTAATCAGAGGGTCAGTGGTTCATATGAACCAGCTGCTCTGCAGGAGGATGATACAATCTACTTCTGTAAAGATTTAAAGCCTTAGAAACCCAATGGGGGTCTCTTTGAGTCAGAATCAACCTGATGGCAGTGGGTTTGGTTTGGTTTGGGTTTCTGTTAATGGTGGTGCACTAATCAGGAAAAGGATAGTCATGATCTAGATACAGAAGATCCCTAAACATGGTGAACATAATCAATGTTACTGAACCATATACATGTAAAAAGGGTTGAATTGGCAAAGGTTTTGTTATGTATATTTGTACTGTAATAAAAAAAAAAGATTAAAAGAAGAAAGAAAAGTCAATGATCTCGCAAGTAGGATGTGAGGATCCTCAGTATTGGTGCTGCTGACATTATGCAGCTTCTTTTGGAAGGGCAAGCAGCCAAGCACTCTCTGCAGGGACCAGTCTCCCAATTGCTGTACAAACACATCTTCAAAGATAAAATAAAACCCTCTTGGTGTCTACTGCCAGCCACTCCTTGGAAGGAATGTTGGGCAATCCTAGTCTACTGGAATATTGTCTAGAAACAAATGAAATATTTAACAATTCAGCTGGAACAATTATCAGTAATGGCTTACTAGGAATCATAATTAGCATAACTGAATGGAGGAATGGCTGAAAAGAAAGTGATAGATGTGAACACTCTGAATTTTGCACTTCTGTTCATCAGTCAGTAGCAGAACTTGTGAACAATTGCTGATGATGACAATGACAATTTACACCAGTCATAACACAGAGAAGTCAAACTGACAAGTAGAACCTCTACTTCCTCATAGTCAGTACAGAGCAAGTTGGCAGTATTTGAATCCTTATCAAAGGAAACTCCCTGGGAATATCAATTCTTGACATGCAGAATATTTGGATACAGCCAGACTCTGAAAAAAGTATATGATGCACGGAAAGAAAGCATAGGAATAGCAAAGGCAGGTGAACATAAGCTAAAATCTCTTTGAGTATAGTGGTTAAAGACTAAGTTCTAGAGCCCAGCACATCTGGAATCAGACTATACCACTTATACACACGAACTTAGGCAGAACACTGAGAAGAGATTTAGTTAAACTCTCTGGGGGTTAATTTACCCATCTTCAATATGAGAATAAAAATATCTACCTCACTGGTATTGATAAATGAAGTAATGCATATAACATCCAATATAACTTGTACAATGCTTGGCATATTATAAGTGTTGATAAATAGCACCCAATATTATATTAACATTATTATTATTATAGTATTATAATTGTCAGTCTTCTAAGTAAATTATCATCAGTTATTAAAACTAAGATTAAATCCTCAAAGCTAAATGTATATGTTTGTCTTTCTACAAACTGCATTTATTCTGCCAATGATAAGGGGATCGCCATGAGTTGGAATTAATTCAGTGGTAAATGGTATAGTTAAAGTGGTAACCCCATGGATGTTACAGCAGAACTGTGCTCCATTGGGTTTTAAATGGCTGATTTGGGGAAAGTACATCACCAGTCTTTCTCCCCAGGCACCTCTGGGTAAACTCCAACCTACAATTTCTCTGTTAGCAGTCAAGCTCGTTCATAGTTTGCTCTACTTACATGGAGTTGTCATTAGTATTAGTTGAAATCAACTCCAACACAACCTTTTTTTTTTTTTAAAGAGTCTCACTGCTATGACTGTGAAATGCATAAGATGATTGTAAATTATCTCCTTTTCTCAGTTATGTGTGGAAGCAATGTGGCTTCATGGAATTGACAATGTAGTTTCAAAGTTCAAAGGAAACAAATTTCCAGAATTAGCCAGTGGGTAAGTGTATAATTCACATGCAATAAAACATAGTATCAATTATTCCATAATTGGTTTATTCTTCCAGGATAACTTAGCCTGAGTCCAGTGGCTGTGTCAACGTGCATAGCCCTTACCTGCTCAACTGCCCAATGAACATCGGTTTTATAATCAATAGGAGCAGGGCCAGTTTAAAGAGTGTAGAACCTGTGCAGGCTCTAAAAAGAGCTCTACAAATTATGTGAGTGGTCCTGCATAAAATGACTATATACATGAAATTAGATAACTCTATCTTGTATTCCCCTTACATTCCTATTGCTATCATCACTGACATAAAATAGAGCACTTTTAATTAATTGTTAATTTATAAGTTCAAAGTGTGAATTCTATATATTATGAAAGTTCTTAAGCTCTTATGCTCCATGAATTTTCTTACTTCAATTAATTTTGAAGCTATCTAAACCCATGTGAAATTGTTCACTACATGTTAGTAAGTAAGAACAAGTAAGCCCATGTCCACCATGCTTACTGGCTACTCCATGTCTGTCATGGATTATAAATTTGAAAATAGGCTTTGATTCTGTAAGATGGTACTTTGGGGTTGGGAGAGAGACAGATGCCAGCCCTACCTAGAAGCAGAATCTTTGATGTGGTATAAAATGTGAACTTACTCACTACAGATTAGAAAGTAAACACAAGTAAGTCCATGCTTACCTTGCTTATTAGGTAATCCAACATTACACTATTGCTGTTTCTGGTTATTTTATTTCACAACTCTTCTATACTTGTCTCTTCTTATTCAACTCTACTCAGTTCTGGCTCTTATTAGAAATATTCATGCAATGATATCTTAATTGATATCCTTTATTTCATTTTCTGCAAGCATGCTACATACTTCTGCTAAATTCATGCTTCTGAGTCACAGTTCTTATCCCAGCCAATGTTCTGCTCTCAATTTTTAAAGAAAAAAAAAATTGCGTAGATTCGATTCTGATGCATGAAGACCCCAAGTGTGCAGAGTAGAGCTGTGCTCCATAGGGTGTTTTCAAGGCTGTGACCTTTCAGAAGCTGACTGCCAAGCTTCTCTTCTGTGGCATCTTTGTGTGGTTGGAACTGCAAGACTTTTCATTAGTAAACAGTGATTAACCACTGTGCCAATCAGGGACTTCACAGACAAACCACTCTTTTAAGAATCTTGTCTAAATTCCTTAGCTTGTCATTTTTCATGGTCTTCTGTGATCTACACAATTCAAATCCCTGCTCACTTACACATTCAATTAGTCAGACAGTCATCAGATATTTATTGAGTCCCCGTTGCATACCAGAAATTGTGCCAGGCAATGCCAAAATGAATTAGACACAGGGCAGTCTTATTCCATAAGAAGGCTATTGCCTAATAGTTCTTTCTTTAACTAAACATGTAAAAAGAATGTTCTACAAGGAAAAATTTGAATGTTTTTTCACAAGTCTAGTCAGAAGGGTTAAAATGAATGTAGACAAATATTCCCACCTTAAGTATTTGTTTTAGATTGCTAATTTACAAAGGGTAGATTTAGATTTAAATTATATGACAATGACCCTAGCATTATTTGACTACCAAGTAAATATCTTTTACATTTTATGGTCTTGCTAAACTCTATAGAGCTACTAAATATCATTTCAATAAAAAGAAAGATTAAAAGTTATTTTCAGTAATAGCTTACCAGGAAATATAATGTCGTCTGTATTTCTTTGAGTTCGGCCGATCAGGACAGTGGTAAGATTCACTACTGGTTTCTCAAGTGTGTTACTCTTTTTCAGCAATGATTTTACTTGCTTCTGAGACTTGAGAACATTTGCAATACTGCCAGACAATGACTGATCTATATACCATGTTAAATTAGATAGGGCAGCTTGAGTTTTTATTTCAATTATTGATTCCACAAATTCTGTCAGACCTTTCTGAAAAAGCAGAATATCTGACAGGGAAGCCTTTATCCTCTCAGGTATGGTAGCATTCACTTCTAATATACTTGTAGAAGCATTATGACACATCATTAAAGTTTCATGGAGAGTTTTGTTAAGCAAAGAGAGGCTAATTGAAAGATGGATGGATTTTGCTTCGAGTGCCTTAAATCTGGAATTTAATACTTGCAGTTGAAGAGCCTGATCTCTCTCATTTGTAACCACACTGCCTTTTTTGAGTGAAACATAGTAAGGTATGAGGGTCTGGGTCACTTTAGACTCAATGTCTTGCAATTGAGTTTCATAATTTCTGGACATCTTTGTTAGTGAGAAGATTTTTTCTTCCAAATGACTCATATTTTGCTGGTATTTTATCATTTTGGAGATGGTTTCATTTAAAATTTGGTAGATATTTTGAAAGTTGGCCTGACTTAGCTTCTCATCTTTAGGAATATCTGCAAGGGCCTTGGCAACTTGCAACACAAAGTTATATCTCTGATTGTCATTGACCAAGATCTCAATAGAATCATTCAGATGTTGAAATTGAGGAATAAAGGCCAAAATACTTTCCATCTTTTGGGTACATTCATGATGAACCTTGGGATGATACTGCATACTACTTAGAGTCTTTTTTAGTACATAGTTATCTTGAATAAAATCGATGGCATTATTTATAATTGTCATTGTCTTATTTAGGCCATCTTCCATATCTAAGGTATATTCATTGATACGTCTTTCTAAAGTATCGCCACGACTCTGTACTTCATTTCTAAGTGAGTTATGTCTTTTTGTGAGTTCTTTGATAATAAAATTTAGACTGTTGACAGCACCTGCCAAATTTTCCACTCTTTTGCTTGTTGCTGCTGCTTCCTTCGGTTGCTCGTATGTCGTTATCTGTTTTAACGATGCTCCCTGCTCAAGCAAGGGTTGAAGAATCTCCATATCATAAGTCAAATCATTTAGCTGCTCATTCATTTTATCCATTTTGTTGTCCATTGGAAAGAGAACCTCAGCCAATGTTTGGTTCAAAACATGTAAATTCTCTTCTGTGTCTTTAATTTGAAACTTAAAATCATTTATGCACTTGGAAAACATATCTTCACATTCACTTCTGACAGTGGCTTTCTCCATCTCCAAAGTGATGGTAAGATTGTTTATCTTGCTCTCTTGACCGCGTAAATCATCAACCATCTGCAGCAGCATCAAATCCTGTTTCTTTATGTTCTCATGCAGAGTAGTCATGTACTCTGTGACATTATTGCTAACCAATTTAGCTACTGGAACACTCTTATGATCTGACACTTGTTTAGTTGATAAAATCTGCTCATGTACTTCCTTCATTTCAGAAAGAGTCTTGTTGAGAGTTTCATAATACAGAATGTTACTTGAGTGTTCCTGTTCTAGTGCACCTTCCAAATGAGTCTGCTTTACTTCTAGTTCCCTAATGGACTTTTCACACGTAAGAGTCATTTCTTGCCTTACATTCACAATGTGGTTCTTTAGATCCATGATATCACTCAATGTAGGTCTATTTTCTTGCATTAAAAAAGACTTTTGGCGGACTGCTATTGAAACCACGGATTCATTAACTTGTCGCATTAATTGCCTGGTGTTTTCAAGGTCCTCGGATAGACTTGACACAGTCTTGAAGAGCTGGGCTACAGTCTCTTGCATGTCATTTTGAAAAATTTTAAATTGTTCTCTTACGATACCCTTTATCATATCATTAATGCTTTTGGATTTTAGACCTAAGGAAATAAATAATAAGCAATAGTAAATGATACATTATTTTAATTATATTAGACTTTAGATATAGCTAAAGAAATAAAAAAATTGAGGCTAAATTTAAGAAACATGATTATGAAAATAATACTCAATTGCATATGTCTATAAAATTTAAAAAAAACTGCAGCTGAGAGAAGGCTATCACCTTCTTAACAGCTAAATCTGATAGAAAAGATAAATTACAGTCTAGAACACATTAGAACTGTAACATCAAATTTCTCTGGACAAAAGACAGGAAGAAATTACTATTGATTTCAGTAATAGACACTTATGCATGATGATTTTAAGTCTAATCTTAGTCTTGTATGAAAATAAATGGTTTGAGTGTTTCTGCCTTAGTAAATAATGCCAGGTGTTAACTTATGTCACTGTATGATACAGAAGTCAGGATACGAATGATAGTAGGTAAATATGTTGTAGATGGATAAAGGTCAGCACAGAATCAAAGTAATTAGAAAAAAAGGTAAAAGTAAAAGTAGATGCTGTTTCAGCTGCTGTTATGATTTAAAACTTCAGTGGTAAATCAAATGGAGAAAATGGCAAAATCACAGTAGTGTCTGAAAAGAAATCAAATAGATTATTAGCTAAAAAAATTCATTCCTGAAACACAGACACAAGGAAGCAATTAGTTCAAAGGATTAATGGACCATGTGAACCCCAGGCTCCACAACGCTGAGGCTAGAACTAGATTGTGCCTGACCACCATTGCTGAATGCTCTGAAAGGGATCACAATAGGAGTTCCCAGATAAGAGTGTGAGAAAAATGTGGAACAAAACTCAAAACCATCAAAAAGATTAGGCTGATTGATCTGATAGACTGGTGGACCCCCAAGACTATGGATCTTAGTTGTTGTTGTGTTGTTGTGTGCCCTTGAGTCGGACCCGACTCATAGCAACCCCTCCTTGGGTTTCCGAGGCAGTATCACTACGGAAGTAGATTGCCCCATCTTCCTTCCGAGGAGTGGATCTTAGGCACCCTTCAAACCTGGAACTGAACTCACCCTAGAGGTTCAACTTTCAGCCAAATTATAAGCATGACATAAATTGACACTAGGGAGTTATGCACTGATTAGAGCAATTAGTCATAGGAGATCAGAAGAGCAGCATTTGCCCAGGAATAAGGTTAAGAAGGCAGGAAGGGATAGGAAAGAAGGATACAGGGAATGATAAACACTGTGGGAAGTGGGAAGAGTGCTGTTACATTATGGGCACTGTAGTGAATGTTATGAAACAAAATGTGTATAAACTGTTGAATGGCAAATAAGTTTGCTCTGCAAACTTTTACCCAAATCACCATAAAAAGCAGCAATAAAACCCAACAAAGTAAAACTTGTTTCTGGATAAGGAATGTTTCAAATAACATTTCTACTGTTCATTATGAAAGCACTATATATTATTATCTGAATATCAATTTAATTTTATTTGATTCTGATTCATGTGACTGATATGCTTCTTCTTGATGCTGGTGTTAGAATTGACATCATATATCTTGGCTTTTGGGAGGGCTGGAACTGGTAAGGAAGACTGGGAAGTGGCAACAGATGGCTTTTGGGAGGGCTGTAACTGGTAGAGAAGGCTGGGAAGCAGGAGTGGAGCAGTTTGGAACATTTAAGGGAATTGAGCTCATGTGTCAGTTTGTCATCCTGTGGTGGCTTGTGTGTTGCTGTGAGGCTGGAGGCTATGCCACAGGTGCTTCAAGTGCCAAGAGGGATAGCGCTAAAAAGGCAAGGAGGCCACATCTTCTGACCTCCTCTAACTACACAAGAGGAAGACAGAATCACCATCAAAAGCCTAAGGCCTGTTACTGCAAGGCCAGACATGCTGCCTCCCTCTAGCCCTCTCATCAACCATTCCTCCCAAAGCAACCACCACCTCTCACCTGGGTTCAATAATTCACTGCAGTGGCCACACAGAACTCACAGATTATGGGGTTTATTAGGGAAGCACCAGGCTACAATTCAAGTTCAGGAAAAATGCTCAGTCTCTCTCCTAGCCTGCTCTCTCTCAGCCAACAATCTCTCACAGTCTCTCTCCCAGCAGTGCATGTCCTTGGTGCCTCTCTCAGAAATGCGTGTCTCTTGCATCTCTTTCTCAGAAGCACGTGTCTCTCAGGAGTGCATCCTTCCTCAGCCAGCAGTCAGAGAGAGTTCTGCCTCTAAGAGGCGTCATTTTGAGCCTGGCAGAGTGGCCAAACTAGCCAATCATAGCATCAGAATTCTAAGTACCTGAGAGAGAGTGGGAACCTCCCAGAACATTGTTTTGTGCCACTCCCCACAGAAATACCCCAGGTGGATAACATTTGCAATCAGGAGCTCCTCAGTTGCTCACAGCAAATTCCACCATGGAGTTTACAAACACTTATGGCTAGAAAAGCCATACCAGGTAATTCACTACACCGCAGTTATCCATGGTAGACAGGTTTCAGCGGAGCTTCCAGGCTGAGACAGACTCAGAAGAAGGAAGAAGCCATCTATTTCTCAAAGAAGTGGCCAGTACAAAGCTTATGAAAAGCAATGAAACACTGTGTGATACATTAATGAAAAATAGCCCTGAAACATTATCTGATATGGTGCCAGAAGATGAGCCCCTCAGGTCAGAAGGCACTCAAAATATGACTAGGAAAGTGCTGAATCTAGGAGTGAATCTAGAGTGAATCTAGGAAAATTGGAAGTTGTCAAAAATGAAATTGAACACATAAAGATTGATATCCTAGGCATTGTTGTTGTTGTTGTTGTTATATGCCGTCGAGTCAGACCCGACTCATAGCGACCCCTCCTTGTGTTTTCGAGGCAGTATCACTTACGGAAGTAGATTGCCCAGCCTTCCTTCCAAGGAGTGGCTGGGGGATTTGAACCGCCAGGCTTCTGGTTAGCAGTCAAATGCCTTACGCACTATGCTACCAGAGCTCCTATCCTAGGCATCAGTGGGCTGAAATTGACTGGTTTGGGCCATTTTGAATCAGATAACCATATGATCTACTATGCCAAGAATGACAAATTGAATGGCATGACATTCATCATCACAAAGAATATTTAAAGATCTATCCTGAAGTACAATGCTGACAGTGAGGATTATATCCCTACACCTATGAGGAAGACCAGTTAATATTGCTATTATTTAAATTTACATGCCAACCACCAAAGCCAAAGATGAGGAAATTGAAGATTTTTACCAACTTCTGCAGCCTGAAATCAGCCACACAAGCAACCAAAATGTGTTAATTATCATTGGTGATGATTAATGCAAAAGTTGGAAACAAAGAAGAATCATTGGTAGCTGGAAAATATGGTCTTGGTGACAGAAATGATACTGGAGATAGCATGGTAGAATTTTGCAAGACCATTGATTTATTTATGCCTTTTGTCAACAACACAAATGGCAGCTCTACATGTGTACTTCACCAGATGGAGTACACAGAAATCAAATTGATGACATCTGTGGCAAGAGGTGATGGAGAAGCTCAATATCTTCAGCCAAAACAAGGCCAGGAGCTGACTGTGGAATGGATCATCAACTGGTCATATGTAAGTTCAAATTGAAGCTGAAAACAATTAAAAGAAGTACATGAGAGCCAAAATATGACCTTGATTACATCCTTCCTGAATTTGGAGGCCATCTAAAGAATGGATTTGATTCATTGAACACCAATGACTGAAAACCGGAAGAATTGTGGGATGAAATCAAGAACATCATCCATGAAGAAAGCAAAAGGTCATTAAAAAGACAGGAAAGGAAGAAAAGACCAAAGAAGATGTCAGAAGAGACTCTTAAACTTGCCCTTGAATAGAGAGTAGCTAAAGCAAATGAAAGAATTGACAGGATAAAAGAGCTGAACAGAGGATTTCAAAGAGCAGCTGAAGAAGAGAAGTCAATTATTATAATGAAATGTGCAAAGACCTGGAGTTAGAAAACCAAAAGAGAAGAATATGCTCAGCATTTCTCAAGCTGAAAGAACTGATGAAAAAATTTAAGCCTCGAATTGCAATATTGAAAGATTCCATGGGCAATATGTTGAATAATTCAGGAAACATCAAAAGAAGATGGATGAAATGCACAGAGTCACTATACTGAAAAGAATTGGTGCATGATCATCTATTTCAGAAGGTGGCATATGATCAAGAATTAATGGTATTGAAGGAAGAAGTCAAAGCTTCACTGAAGGAATTGGCGAAGAACAAGGCTCCAGGAATTGACTGAATACCTGTTGAGATGTTTCAACAAACAGATACCCCATTGGAGGCACTCACTGGGCTATGCCAAGAGATTTGGAAAACAGCTACCTGGCCAAATGACTGGAAGAGATCCATATTTGTACCCATTCCAAATAAAGGGGATCCCAGAGAGTGTGAAAATTATCAAACAGTATATTAATATCACACACAAGTAAAATCTTACCAAAGACAATTCAAGAATGGTTGCAGCAGTATGTTGACAGAGAACTTCCAGAAATGCAAGCTGACTTCAGAAGGGGACGTGGAGTGAGGGATATCATAGCCAAGATGGATCTTGGCTCAAAGCAAAGAATACCAGAAAGGTGTTTACTTGTGTTTTATGTATTATGCAAAGGGATTCAGTTGTGTGGATTATAACAAATTATGGAAAACATTGAGGAGAATGGGAATTCCAGAACATTTAATTGTACTCATGAGGATCCTGCACACAGACCAGGAGGCTGTCGTTCTAACAGGACAAGGGGATACTTCATGGTTTAAAATCAGGAATGGAGTGTATCAGGGGTATATCATTTTACCATACTTATTCAATCTATATGCTGAGCAAATAATCCGAGAACCTGGATTATATGAAGAAAATTGTGTCATCAGGATTGGAAGAAGGCTTATTAAGAACTGCAATATACAGATGACACAACTTTGCTTGCTGAAAGTAAGGATGACTTAGAGTACTTACTGATGAAGATTAAAGACTACAGTCTACAGTATGGATTACAACCCAATATGAAGGA